TTACAGTGAGAATATAGTGGGCTCTACCTTACACAAGACATCAAGTCGGCATCACTAAACTGAGCCAAACTGACATCAGGAACTTCCTAATGTGATATAAGTGGAAGGACACAACATCATGCATGTAGTAGAGCCGGACTTGTTTAATCTGACTCTAATCATCAGGCAAAGCCAAGTTATTGAACTGTTTTTAAGACACCTGGCCTGAATTCTCAAAAAAAAAAGTCATTTTCATGAAAGACAAAAATATACTGGGGGCCTTTTCTAAATTAAAAGAGACTAAAAGGATGTGTCACCTTAATATGTCATCTTTGGATTCTGGATAGATATAAACAACTATAGAGGAAAAGACATTGCTAGGACTGCTGATGAAATGTGAGCATGCATGCATATCTGATAATACTGTGCCCATGTTAAATGTCTTGGGTGTGATAATGGTATTGAAATATTAGGAGTTCTTAGGATGTACAAGCTGAAGTATATGGAGGGGAACTTTCTGCAACTTCTTCCAACTGATTTAACTACAATAACAGTATGTATGCATTTATACACACACATAGACACTATATACATATTTGTTATTTTATGTATTTACATATTAACACATTTATAAATATATAAAATAATATACAATATGAGTTATATAAATATATATATGTACTTTATTAGTGAGCAAGAGTTTACACTACTAAGGCACAATGTTAGACATTGATGCATCTGGGTGAATGGTGTATGGATAGATTTAATTTTACTCCTAACAACTTTTCTGTGAATTTAATTTTTTTAAATAAATATTTGCATATACAGAGTGAATATTCTTTCATAACTCGTTACTGGTATTCCTTGTCTATCCCTGTAGTTAGTGGATTAGCAATATGTGAGTTGAAACATGACCCATCTGAAGTCCGTCTCTTGGAAATGGCCTCTGTTTAAAGTGTGTTCCTGTGCACTTTCAGTGGGGGAGTCATGGCCCTGCCATTCTACCAGAGGTACTAAGAATTATGATTTTCTGGGTTATAGTCGGCTCCAATTGTGGTTGGTGGAGCTTTCATCAGATGTATTTTTATTGAATGAATGAAAATAAGTATCTTATAGAAAATATCTTATGAATGGCTACTTGTGTGGGGTCTGTGGCTGTTGGTACAAGGCCACAGTCCCTGAACACCCCCTGTGCCCTCCCTGTCCTCTTGCCCTGCAGCCATTGCTGTAGCAGTGCCCCTCATCAGGGTGGCCTGGGAGCACCTCACCTCGGCTGCAATACTCTTCTCTCACTTTCTGTCCTGGGGCTTCCCTGCCACTTCTCTACTTCTTGGAACAAGTCTGCGGGAGTTTATGATCCCAGAGGCAACAGGCCTCCTCAGAGGGCCCCCAGGAGAATGAGCCCTAGTTGCGCACCTTGCTGACCAGCTCCATATGACACCTTTGAATTGGCTTTCCCACTTTCCCAGCTTTACTCTTCCAGTCCTTCAGTACTGGATCCCCAAAATAAATGACTGGCACATAAGACTTTGTCTTAGGCTTAGTTTTTGGCAGAACCTGGACTAAAACAATGGATCTCTCTAGTTATGGGTGGAGAGTGTTAGGATTGTGACTATTACAATGGCCATCCTCTAGGAGACGCGTGATATCTAGAGACAGGATTTGGAAAGGGTCAGGAGAAACTTCCTTATTGCTGTTTGGCCCTGGGCTGGTCATTTAACCATCAGGTGACTGGTAAGGTTTCAGTGACCAGTGACGGGGGTTGAGGAGAAGACTTAAGTGCAGGATTCTATTAGTGGTGTGGAGGACTGCTGCGCCTGGTACCTGTCCTCAAGTGTTGAGAGAGCGGTGTAACCTCTGAGTGCAAAGGCGCGGCAGCAGTAGGCAGAGCACACCTCTGAGAAGGGCTGGTGGTGGGCTTGGGCGGGGCTGCTGTCAATCGAACAGACAGAAAATAGAGACTCAATAGTGAGACAGAAGCCTGTTCTAAGCCATAATGGGATTAGCTCTTACCACAAGATCAAATAGTGCAACAAGGGGGCATGGGATTTTGGTGTAAAATCCCACATTAGGCTGGAACTTGTTTAACTGCATCAACCTATTACAGGACACTAAAAATGGGGGAAAGGAGAGTAAGAAGGCTCGATCTCCATTGAAGTGCAGCAGGTTGGTTGCACACTATAATTGCTTGTTGCATTGTATAGCTCAAGGTCACTCTGTGACTTCAGAGCTTCTGTGGTTAGATACCCCAGTACTTAGAGCATGGGCGGTCAGTGTGCTTTCTGCTACAGATGTTGGGGACCTGATGAATTCCTGTCTTTTTACTGATACCCTGAGGGAACACTTAATAATGATGCTCCCCTTAAGAAGAAGAATTACCAATAGCTATATTATTCATATTAATTTATAGTTACTGGTTGCTGTAATTAATGTTATTTATCAAAATCATCATAATTATAGCACTGTGCAATTTACAAAGCATTTTCCCATCCATTTTCTTATCTGAATCTTGTTAAGTCCCTCTGGCTCAGGGAGGGCAGGTGATGTTTCCTGATTTTGTAGATGAAGAAACTATGGCCCCGGGAAGAATTTCACCAGACTCTAGTCTGCCACCCTTACCCATGTATTGTGGTGTCTATGAGTATATAGAAATACACTTATCAAATTCATGTTATCAGGATGTTTTATATCTGCCTGCTAGAAAATTGGCCTCACACAGTTCTTGGCTGCTTCTGTAACAACAATGCCATAGCTTTTTGTGCCAGGACCCATTGCCCAGAATGTTCACATGAATTCTAATGTTAAAGGGGTTATTTTCTTTATAATACTACAATATTTCATAGTTATCAGTACCCGTTGCGATAAAGATGAGACCACCTCTAGTGGAGGGATTAGCGCTATGAAAACATCTGTTCCTAGGATAAAGAAAGACTCACTTGCTTCCGAAGGCTTGGTCAAACTGGAAATCCAGACTCCAAGAAAACATAACCACCCTGTCACTTTACTGTTCTTCTATTTTTGGCTGTGGGCAAGCAAGCTGAGGAAAATCTCTCAATTGTCACAAGGGCAGCCGTCAAATCTGGGCCATATGGTGTGAAATATACAGATACGCAGGTGCGCACACATAGGCACGCTGAGCCTTCTGGTTCCCTTTTTATGCCACACCATATATTCTGTATACTGGAGCATCTGCTGCACTTGTTAGACCTTTAGCTGCTTTTACCTGAAATATGTTGAATGAAGGTTACTGGCAGTACCTATAGCTGAGTCTGTCATGATTCATTCATTTATTTACTCAGCATATTTATCAAACACTTCCATGGATCAAGCCGTGAACAAGATTCTGGAGAAACTGTGAGAAAGGAAACAGAGAAAGTCCTTGCCCTCATGAAGCTTGCATTCTCCTGGGGAGACTGACTGTGGAAAGACAAATTTTCATAAATAAGATAATGTTAGATGGTGATAGAGAAAAATAAACAAAACAGGGCAGGGGGTTAGATTGCTATAGAAGGGTCATTCAGCTACATCCAGAACAAGAAATGATAAGGAGTCTGCTTTAGGTATTGTGATAAACAATGTGCATATTTAAAGAGGGCTCGGCTCATAGTAAGGATGCCATTGCCTCTGGGGGCAGTCTTCAGGTTTGGCCCAGGGGGCTGGGTCACACCTTCATGGATGCTGATGTTATCAGTATGACTGGAATAGATCAGGTCTGGAGGGATTAACTCATGCTGGCTAAATTCACAAGAGACTGACTGATACACTAGATGACATTAGGTCTGTTTTTTGCAGAGACTTAAGTAAGTTCCAGGACTCAGGAAAAGTGGCTTGATGAGCAAGCTACCAGGGGAAAAGCAGTAGTGGCATTGTTAGGCTTTACTATTAGGCTGCCAGTGCCAGGTGCAGCTTAGTCACTAAAAAGATACATTTACTTAGGGAATTGTAAGATTGTAATGCTAACTTCTCAGGGTACTTTATTTTTTGTTGCTGAGGATATTCTGTTTTACTGGCTGATGCTTTTTCTAAACTCTTCCACACACTATCTTGATATTTAACTTCCTTAGACAAGTTCAATAGAGTTGATTAAATTACACTAACTTCTCATTCCATTCCAGTTGGGCCTTGCTGTAGATATGCTTTGGTTTCTTGATGGAGTCTTCAGAGCCACTCTCATTATAATCTGTGATCATTGTTACTTTGTCACCTTAAAAGATTATTTTAACTCACCCTGCTTTTAAATCTTAGGGCCATCTCACTTTCTTTTTTCTTGCCTTACATTCTAAGCAAACTGCTCGTTTTTCTAAGCTTGCTCACAATCCTGGAAACTCTCTTCTGGCAGTGTTATTACTCGCTACCTGTCCCCTCCTGATTCTGAGTGCAGGTGGAAGCTGGTGCTTCTCATAGCATGGCACTTTGACATGTGAAATCCATAGACCTCCCCAGCTTCCTGATCACTGACCACTGCCCATGCTTGCTCTGCAGCCCCTTGGCCAGACCCTGAGCATGCTCATTCTAGCTCATTTTTTAGGTGCATTGCTTGGCACTTGCCGTCTCTCACACAGACACACTTAATATCCACTGGCCGGCTGCTGATTCCTCTTCCTGCGCTCTCAGTCTCCTACCCTTGTCCCTCCCTCCTCCAACTCAAATGTCCTCATCCAGTGAGGTAGTTTCTGAACACACAGGGCTTGTAATATCTCTCCAGTTGCATTCTCCTTGAGTACACAGAGACATTTATTTCCTTTTACTGTACTGGTATACTCATACCCCCACCCAAAAAAAAAGCCTTTAAATAAGTGTGTGACCTGAGGAAAACCACCTCATATGTTTCACCTTTCTTATGTGTTAAAAAGGGATAATTCTACTGTAGACTACCTTCCAAGATTTTATAAAAGCTAAAAAAATAAGATGCAGGAAAGCTTGGACAAAGCGACATTCTAATTTGAGAAATTTGAACTCAGACTGATTTCAGTGGAAACTGGAGATGTCCTTTTTTAACATCTCTATGTTGCTTTCAACAGGGAAATCCGGGAGGCAAGACCCTTGAAGAGAGGCGCTCCAGCCTGGATGCTGAGATCGACTCCCTGACTAGCATCTTGGCTGACCTCGAGTGCAGCTCCCCCTACAAGCCTCGGCCCCCACCGGTAAGAGCCTCCCGTAAATGTTTCCACATTGCCGGACACAGTCCACGACTTTATGAAAGAACGCGCTGCTGCTTACAGTGCTCCCATTCTTTATGGATTTCTGAGAGCCAGTGGTCTAAGTTGTCTTTTTACTGAATACCAACACGTGTTAGTTAACAGAAACTTCTTAAATGGATTGTATTAGTCTTTTCATTAAAATAATACAACAGTGTTTTACAAAAGTGTTATGAAAATTAAATCTCTTATTCCATTGATCTGCTATTTTTCTGGTTTTGCTTACGTGGCTACTTTGTTATATGTTGGTATCGTCATCACAAATCATGATTTAGCTTGGCTATTTGAAAGTTAAGGGGAGAGCTCAGTCTTTTGTAAAGAAATTCTTTTTGTTGGATATTGAGGTGGCTTCCAGTTTTTGGTTGTTGTAAGGTATGCTGTGAGGGGTGTGTTTGTGTATATTTTCTGTGGAGGTATTTCTTATCAGGTTCCTCAGAGTGGGTGGGACCTCTGCATGGAGGAGTATGACCGCTTCTGTTACTTTCCCTTCCAAAGTTGTAGCTAGTTTATACTGGCACCAAGAGAACATACCAATTTCTACACAGTCCCACCAGAATTTGGTGATAATAATTAATCTGTCTTTTTAAAGTGCAAATGGTGTCCTGTTATCAGTTCTTCTTGGCTATACTTTGCACCTCCATTTATCCTCTGCATATCAGACTACATATCTGATCTTTCCCTGCTAGTGGTCATTCCTGCCTCTCTCAGGTCTTAAGAGGTGATCGCAAATCTATTTCAGGGCTCCCGGGATCTCAGAAGGCAGCCAGCAGAACTCCAGGTGCACACATTGGCATGGCACCATTGTCACCGTGTTGTTTGACTCCTGCATGCTATTTGCTTGGTGGAGTGACAGTGTGTATGGCCCTTTGAGTCTCACTCCAGTCCTTGAACAGCAGCTCCTGTTTCACAACGGTTCCTCTCATGAATTAAAATCCAGTCCTGCTCCTCTACATCTGGATGTTTAAAAAACGAACTACATGTAAGGTAGCTGTGCTTTCCTCCTCAGACATGTTCCCATTACCTTCTCTAAACATGTGCTGGGACTCGCAGCCACGTGGGGGTACAAGGCAGGCCTCTAGAGCTTAGTTCCTCCTTAGCTGTCCTCTCTCTTGGCTCCATCAAGCCTGTCAGTAGTGAAGATGAACTATTTCCAAAAACTGGGAACAAGCTGCCATGGTGGTGTTTTGGGGGGAACTGCTGGGAGAAGGAAAGTGGATGGTTGAAAGAGAGAAAAATAGAACCAAGTTGTCATTTTTCCAAGAGCCCAAAATATTATGTTAAACTCTGACAGATACTGAAGAAGCATGAGAAGGTGGCAGAATCTGAGAGGGTTTAACAGAAGACTTTATGGCCAGATGGAAGTGATAAGTGGGATTTTAGTATTTTAGACAAGAGGGGAGAACAACCTGAGACTTAGAGCAGGAAGGTTCCAGGGTGCATTCAGAGAGCTACATGCAGCCAGGTGGCTGCAGTCCAGGCCATGGACTATAGTGGACTGTAGGACTGGGAGGTTCCTTATTCACAGCCTCAGTAAGTGGATGGGTTTGAGTGCCAGGTTAACATTTCGGCCTGCTTTTATAGACAATGGGTGAATACTTGAAGGTTCCAAGCAGGGAGAAGCTAAAATTCATTCTGAAAAAGGAATGTAGGAACCCAGACCAACTCTGGAAAGATGTGGGAGTAGGGGTGCAAGTCTGCGAAACCATAAGCCTGTCTTATTGCATAGCTTCTGATCAGTGTTTGAGCTTATGCGTTTTCCCAGTTCCACCCACGCAAATACCTCAAGCCCAGTTCCTCAGGACAGTGAGGCCACTGACTTTACAGATGGACTCACTTGTCTTGTGCTGAAAGACTCCTGTGCTCCCACTCACCTCTTTTTTCTTCTTTTTTTCTTATACCCTAATATATACTGGGGAGATTCTGCTTCAAGGTTTTTGCTTAATATAGCTTTCATTCTTTAGGGCTGTCTACACATGCTTGCCATAAACCACTGCATTTTAATAGGTTTATTCAGCAGCTACATTTTTTATTTGAGCAATCTTACTGTGCACACAAACTCACATTCAGTAATATTTGGACAGTGTTTTACCAATTGTGGAGCACTTCACATATATTCTCACTTGAGTAAGATACATATATCACAACCTTGAGATACAGACCAGAAGACTTGTTTATTTTGTATGTGCTTAATTTAGTATGTGCTAAAATTTAGTATGTAAGTGATTTGCCTTAGAACATATGACTACAGTGTGAGCACAGCTAGACCTTAAATTTTTCTTTTTTTTTTTGGAACTAGATTGAGGATGTCAGGATTTTTAAAAAATGTTTTTACCAATGATAAAAACTATGAAATCAGTCATATGAGCAATAGTGTCTCATGAATAATACTTCCTCATAAAAAAAAAGCATTCAGAAGGTTAAAAATATAGTAATAATAACCCTTAAGGAGAATAAGTTGAGAATTAGGATAAAATCTACTTTAGAAGTGCCTGTTCCATTCAGAAACTAAAGACTAATTCTTTCTAACTTTTTTTTAATTCTAATTTAGGAAAGCAAGAGTTAATTGGGAGACAGAGCTCATTCTGAATTATCTTCACTCTAGTAGAACTGAGTTAGATGTGTTAGTATTTATTGGTTAACATAATTATATGCTATGAGAACAATAATCATATAGCTAAAATATTAAAAATAAGTGTGAAAAGAAGATGATATCTGCAGTTGACTGTGTTGTGTGGTAATTAAAAGGTGCTTGAAAAGTCCTAGAAATGTAGACTGTTAAGTGTTCAACTTTGATGTTTCCATTTTTGATCCACAGCAAATTGCAAAACCTGTTGAGTCACCTGACCACTTAAAGCAGGCTATTAGGTCTAGGATTCCTCAATATTGAAGCATGTGTTGTGTGATTTCCCAGACCCACTCTGAATAACCTTTGCAAAGCTACTTTGACTCATGGATCTAGGGGGAAACAATCATGTATGTGGAATGTTTGTACAGTAAGAGAACCAAAGGAGCTCTATTCACCTAATGACTGAAAAATGTCTGAGCTCTTGAAAATAGAATTTTATGGGGCTTTTTCTTCCTTTTCCCAAAGGAGCATTTCCTGCTCTGATTTTCCAACTTCAGTTCTGTTCACTTAGTTATCCATTTTTTTATTTGGGAAGTGTGGCTTACTTCCACATATTTATTTAATCACCTAATGTTCATTGAGAACCCACTATGGATCAGGATTTGGAAATATAATTAGCATCAACATGTCCTTCCTCTAGAGTAATTCCTGGTCTTATGGAAAAGACAAACACATAAACAATCCAAAAGAACACAAAAGAAGGGCTTTGATGTGTGCTACTTTAGCTTATCACATGACTCATCCTATGTTGAAATTGTGGAAACTCAAAAATAGGAATATCAATATTATACTTTCTACTTCTCTGGGGAATTGTGAGGAAGGACTACACAGAGCAGTTGGCACTTGAGTTCACTTGGCTGAATATATCATGGGAAGGGCATGGGGTTCAAGGTATGAGAGTAACAGACATGAAGTCAAGGGATGTTGAAAGTGAATTCTTTGTTTGAAGAATAAGTTAGTTCTCTTGTGATACAGGGTATGTGGAGTACAAAGGGGAATGGTAGATGAAGAAGTCATATATACTTAGAACCTGCATAGCCCTCTTGATGCCCGAGGATGTCCATTGTAAGCTAAGAATTCAGTAGGATAACAGTAGTGTTTCTGTCTACAGCGGGGGTCAGTAGTAACTCTTCTAGTACATGTTACAATGGAAACATATACATCATGACGCTGCACAGAATTATGCAGTTAAACTAACATGTTTGGAGCTAAAATTTCTAATCATTAAAAAATATGTGTATTAGGGAGTAGGTAGTTTTAGAAGAACAGATGTGAGAAGTTCAGAAGCGGCTGTGGGTGAATTACAGACCCAACATGGTCACAAAGTAACAGAGCTGAAGTGAGCTTTCCAGGTCACTGTAGCCAAACTCCTACTACACAGAAAGCAAGCTTTTCCCTAGAGAGGGAAAGAACATTGTTCAAAGAGGTGCAGTTAGAGGCAGGATGAATGATTCTTACTGTTTTCCCTGAACCATGATATAATGGCTCTCTGTGGATGATAACAACAACCAAGAGACAAGTTTGGGTCCCTTTAGCATCTCAATTAATTCATTTCAAAATGTCTCTCTTTTGTGGTACTTTCTCTAAAATGTGTCTTGGAAACATAACAGAGGCTTAGATACATAAAAAAAAAATACCTCAAAGGGAAATGGAAAATTTATGACAGCATGTGTCTTTCATTTACTGCATTTCTAGACCCTACCTACCAGGAATCGTTTGTTTGTAGTACAGCTTAGAGTCTTTGAAAGAGCTACACAGGGGTCACTTGAAATTCTGTCAGTTTCTTAGAAGACAAATAATAAATCATGAATTTATGATTTTCCTCTTTTTTTATCAGAGGCAGCTCTGGAGTGCTGGTCATCTAATTCCCAGTACAAAGCTGCCTTTTTTTCCCTTAGAGTTTGGTAAGGTTGGAGCTGGTGCCTAGGTGACTCAGAAGAGCTTTCAGTTATTTTAATATTTCATGGTAACTGGGATTTAGTATACTTTGAATCAAGTTGCTTTTGAATTGATCAAATGGAATTTCACTGTCCCCATTTATGCTAGTATGAATACATTTGGAGAGATTTTAGGGACACAGGATAGTGTCAGGCATAGTTGATAGCCCAGACTCCAAGTTTGCCATTAAGATAACTGTCTTCTGAATTCCATGCGGTCACCTCTGTAGAAGGGCATCGTTTGTGTAAACTGCCCAGACCACTAGACTGAGCTTCCTTTTCTTTATTTCTAAAATGGCCATGGTAAATATAATTATTTCCCTTTTGCTGAGATTGTTCTAGAGCTACAAGAAATAGGATATTGCCTGAAGTAACAGTCCACT